AGAAAGACTACAAAAGATAAACCATGTAACTGAATTTTTAAACTCCAAGGATAGTGTTCATAAAAAGAAAAAATATAAGAAAGAACGCAGTTCGCGAGTCAAGCGCAAAAGAGCAATGCCGAGTGGACGGGCGAGCGACCCTTAGCAAAGAAATACTTCTTTTTAAAAAATGTAACCATAAAAGCAAAAGAAATATAACCTTAAAAGCAATAAATAATGCCAAAACATAAACTAAATAAAGCACAGACAGCTGGAGTGACGCAACAAATTTTGGAAGGAGTTGTTTTCTTTCCAACATAGAGATAATAAACATTGTTTTGAAAATTTTACATTGTATTCACTGTTACTATGGTAATCATTAAAACAAAAAAATTTCCATAAGAATAACATTGGAAGTTTGAAGACACGTGGGGCGGAGCCCTAAGGTGAATTCCAAAAATCCAAGTAGCCTATAACCTTTTCACGCATGTATAGAACAAAGAAAAAAAGCTTCATCGAAATCAGTGCACCCGTTTCCCTGTGAAAAGCGAACAAAATCACGTCCAAAACCGCACCGAAACACATTTTTGAGTGGTCGCCATTTTCTTTCCAAAAGGCGTATGACAGTTTCAAATAGCCTACTATAGCCTACTATACTATAATCGAAAACGGTGCACTCGTTTTCCCGTGAAAAGCGAACAAAAACACGTCCGCGAGCGTTACCGACAGACAGACAGACAGAAATTGAGATAAGGCTTGTTTCGGCTTCTCTGGTCTATGAAACGTGAAGATATGCAAAAAGTACACTATTCTAAACAATGTACAGACAAAACTCTTATTTTATTTATATAGAAGATTCGCAGCTGAAACTGGGGATCGTGTTAAAAGACTGTTTGTTTTTGAATATAGCTACATGAGGGCTATCTGCGCTAGCCATCCCTAATTTAGACTAGAGGGAAGGCAGCTAGTGATCACCACCCACCGCCAACTGTTGGGCTACTATTTTACCAACGAATAGTGGGATTGACCGTCACATTATAATGCCCCCACGACTGAAAAGTCGAGCATGTTTGGTTGGACGGGGATTAGAACCTGCGACCCTCAGATTACTAGTCGTACGCCCTAACCACCTAGCCACGCCGGGCCTATGTGTTAAAAGATATTTGGTGGGTTTAAACTTCAGACCGACCAATTTCAATGATGTGGATTTGTAATGTTTAGCTACTGGAAATGCATAAATTTGATGTTAAGTAATGTTCTTAAAGTGTGCGGGTTATTGGGCCCAGACAATTTTTGAAGCTATATCGGCAATTTTCTTATTACAATTTATCTAGAACTCTGTGAAAGGTGTGGTAATATATCTAATGTTGTTTTATTCTGAACTTTTTAACATATTTGTTAAAGTTATACTTTCTTCTCGGGCAACAATTACAAGGCTTCGAATATGCTGCCTTACATGAAACGTTGAGCCAGTCAGAATTTTATTGTGAATTTACCACATTACACGAAATGACTTAATAGTTCCGCCGGTAACATAATGATTATCAAACGCAGATGGAATATAACAAAATAGTGAATAACCCATGTAGAGTAACTAATTCAGTTTTATGAGGGTTATGGATCAACTTCATTCATTATTTTCTATTAATTATTTTAAAAGCGAAATTTCTAACACTATGAAACGGAATGTGTTGTTCTACAACCTTTTACTACGAAAGAAACATCTTCTTGTCAAACATGACATTTTGTAGTGGCAAACGGTTTCCAGAGTGTTCCAAGCCAGCATTTCCAGCGTCACAGTCTCGCAATTCTTGAACGGTCTACGAGTCAGTGTTGTGCAATCAATACTGGAACAAAAGATCTGAACGTTCATCAGATTCGGGCAGTAATCATTTGTGATATGGGTATAGCTATTTACTCCAAAAGTTAATGAACTTCGGAGGTATTTTGGTATCGCATATATATATATATATATATGCTCATATATAACAATCATCCGAATTTGTCCGAATTTTCTTCCGTTTGAAACCAGCAACAAAAGCCAAATAACAATAAGCCTTCTTTCAATTGCCTCATTGTCTATGAAACATAGTCCTACGGATTTAAGGTATGATATTCTGAAAGGGAATTAATGGTCATCAACAAAACCATTTATACATAGTAATCTTTAATTTTAATTGAAAATCATTTGGAATCTGTACATATGTACCTTCTTCCCAATTAAATAAGAAAGATAGACAAGTAGTAATAGGTTTGTTCGCATATTGCAGGGAAGGAGGGATTTCTAAGACTTAATATATTAAACATAGTAAGCTAGCTTTTGCATGCTGATGTTTAACGGTGTTTCTAGAATAACGGAACACATTCGGATAATGATAACATATATAAATCTATACTTATTATTCCTTTCATCCTAATGTTTATTTGCTGCGTCGTATACATCTACCAGTGGGTTAGCAATGGTTTGTGAATGCAGTCTAATTCACAAGTTTAGTAAGTGTTGCCTTTTAGTAATCGATTGACTTTTCATCATCTTTCTAAATTCGTATAAATATGTAAAAAATGTATTTTTGTCTGTTCAAAGATAACTCATAAACGTCAGTTTTTAAATTGGTTCAGTAACAACCATAAGATGATAATTTCAATTCTAATGTCAAATATAGTGATACAATAATTTTAAAAAGTTCCATAAAAATCAGCTAATATTTTGATTGTGGTTTAATTCATTTAGGAGATATTTTTGCACAAAAACGCATGTGATATTAAAATTAATTGACAATAAAACTTATATCTTATGCAGGGTAGATATATATATAAGTATTTACATATATGAGCGTAAGTTAGAACGTAGTTTCTGTATACTATTTAGTACAGAGTGCTGTCATGCGGTAAATTGGATAATTCACTATCACGCCATATACGATACTACAGTGAATAGAATTATTTTTAGAACCGTTAGTATAGTTTCTTACTCCACAGAAAACAGATCTTTACATACTATGCAACATTTATATAATTTTTATCCTGTATTGAAATAAATGGGACGAATATCAATGCAATTAATTTTAACATCCGTCAAAATACCGTAAGAAGGATGTTAGTCCAAATCCCAGCGTTCATTTAACACTGCACTTAGAATAATTATTTTAAATTTTTGCTCCCATATGGTTCCAAAGAGATAGATCTTAGTCACTTGTGTCTTTTAGAAAGCTAGGTGGATAGCAAAGACGATTTTTTCTCTATATCATTGCCACTTCTGATCGTCGAGCCTATTTTGTATCTATATGTTTTCGTTGTTTCTAACTAATGGCTTACATTTGTAATATTGCACTAAAATAAAGGATTTTTGTTACACTAAACATGGAACAACAAATAGATTAGTTCAAACTTTACGATTACAGGCATACAACTAGTACTTCATTCACACTTATTACACATTATATTAATTGAAATTTTTGAATTCAATCTTTTCACACTTTTCCCAAATGTCTATGTTTGCAATTGGTATGAATATTGTGCTCTAAAAAATGTGTGAAATAAACAGAAAAATATAACAAATGTGCTAGCGAGAATGTTTTAGTTAAAGTTGTTTTTCTTATTTTACGTAGAAATTTAAATGAAGTGTATAATGGTTTAATTTCAATCTGTCCTCCAAATACAATACCGAACCTACGTCACGAATTTTACGAATCTTCACTGCTTTGAAGATCTTCAATAGCTAGAACAAGGAAGTGCAGTCATGTAATTTTGCGACTGTTAATATTCTTTTGTGGGATCACTAAATATGGAAATGTATGCAAATAAGTAACGAAATTTAATTTAAATTATCAAACCAATAGTTTTACAATACGTATTTTTAGCAACCTATGTGTCACAGTGTCAAAAATAGGATGGATAGTTTTCAAATTTGTGACTTAAGTATTCTTGCATGTTAAACAAATTGTTTGTAAGCTAAATCAAATTGCACATTTAAGTAGTTTGTCTCGTTAGCTGAAAATAGTTATAAGCATTTAATAGCTTCTTAAAAACAAGAATATATATTAGACTTACCTGAAACCATTCCAGGCAGAAACAAGGAGGAAATAAGCATAACCAGTGATGTCAGAAAGAGCATTATTTCGAAAGGAGTGACTATTCTTTGAGACTAAAATGGTAGAAGACTCGTGTTTGAAGACGGGTCGGGTCTATATAAGTATCCTTGTTTAGGTTTAGACAGAAGACTCTTAGTAGATCTATTCAAAACGTTACATTCCAAGATTACCGGAATTTTTTAAAAATTCCTTCATCATAAATCATTTATCCATATCTGGTTCTGTTTAAAAAATATATTTCAGTATGTAAGTTTCGTAAACGCAAGTTGATAAAAACAATTCTCTACGCTTTTGTTTAACGTATTTCACTTACACATATTTTCTATCATATTTCTTACTTACGTAAGCTAGTTAAATAGCCAACTTAGACGTAATATTCCAGTGGAATAATAAGGTTATATAATTGAATGAAATTTTCTTTCTGTCAAAAATAGGTTATCCTAAGTAATTTAATGAGAGAACTTATGTTCAAGTCACAAGATGGTCAACTATCACGTTATTCACGACATAATTCAATTATTCACGTGTTGACAAAGACCGTTTCCTCTAGACTACAACTCAGCGTTGAATCATACGTTCGTACGCACCGAGAATGTTTTATCTACACTATGATACTGTATACTGACAGGCTGTGGTCAAAACCCAAACGATTTGCTTTGCGATCCGTACCGTAATGTATAGGTTAAGTACATATTTTAGCACTAGCGCCCTCTCTAGGTAAAAGATATTCTTTGTGTGATTCTAAAATACAGTAAGATACACATATGACAAAAAATTACCTTAACTGTCATATTCTTAGGTTAAACCTGTTTCAGCTTTAACCGAGTTAAGCAGAAACTCATAAACATTGTTATCATGAACATTTCTTAAATTTCAATTCAGATTCCAACTTAGAAATTGAAGGCCGGAACTTTAGAAAGTCGACTGAGGATTATTGAAAATGAGATGAGCTGCTGGATTTTTATTAGAGACTCGATCTCTTTTATGGTCTAAACCTTATCACAATGTAAGTGAATATGGTAAAAGTTTTACTGTTTTATAATATTTAGATATTTTATGGTGATTATGCCAATACAAAATAACAGTTAATTACACAAAGCTGTAGCACTTTTTGATAACAATATGCAAACAAACATTACTTGTTTTATAATCTGTTGCTGAAAAAATAGTGAAATTTTATCTCTATTATCTCATATTGTTACACAATTTCTCTCAGAGGTATTAAGAACAGGTGGCGAAAATCACGATATTTAAAGTTTCGTACAATATTTTAACATATTTTATAAAAATACATTTGATTAGAATACAAATGAAATATAAAAAATGTCAGTAACACAATAAAAATCAACGTACTTGTTGCATAACTGTATTGTCAAATTAACACTTATATAACATTATATAAGTTATATAACATAACTTTCAATCAGTTTATTAGTTTAGAATTTTTTTAAAACTTCATCATTTATAGTTTGCTTTATTTTAAAATCATATTTATTTCTGATGCTTTGCTATATGAGTTATAAAATTAAGAATCTTTACTAATATAATTTTGTTACTTTAAGAATAAAACAAAAATGTTCTTCATTACTTCTCTTTGGCACTGATAAAACTCTGAGACAATTTATGACAAATGACAATGGAAAGGTTGTCGATGGCTCAGAAGAATTTCTGTTGTCTCTTTTCCAACCCTCAAATTGTTGTATTAAAATTCAAGTTTATCAAATACCGGTGGTTGATCTGTTTATTGTTTATAATACTAGCTAGAATAAATTTTCCAATACATTTTACGTTTTTCATTATTTTGACAGTTTTTTCTCCATTACCATTGAATTTACCTTAGACCCTTATTAATACATACTGATATTATATAGATTACAATATATAATTATTTTTTTGTGTGTGGTAATATCCTTACCATTTATAACAAGATAATGAACGAGACAACTATTTTACATCGATTTATGAATTGTGAATATTCTCTGCCTCAGAATGTATTATTGATCAGTGCAAGCTCTGTAATTATTGCAATAACTTCTAATGCTATGAAGCTCAAACATACTATAACCAAATATGTTTAAAGGTACAGTCTGAACATAAGAATTGACGATAAAGTTAGTTTAACACAATACATGGTTCATAAATTGCGTTGTGCCAGGCATGGATGAGATTTTTAGCATGTAGTGCTGCTTATTGGAAGGCCTAGTTAATCCTCCTATTTCGTTAAGAGTAGCCTTGTAAGCGGTGGGTGCTACTGACTGTTTTCCCTTTCGCTGATCTGTAGCACTTAATTAGAGATGTATATTTTGAATCTTGGGTCTCTGATTTGGCCATTTAGTTCATGTGTCGCAAAAGATGGCGTTCAGGCGGAAAACACCAAATAACTTATGTTGCATCATAGTTTCACTTGGGTTTTGAGATTTTTCTGAATAACTCACGTTAATTTGATAACATCAAAATACAAAGTAGACATAATAAGAAAACATAAGGGATCATCAATGCAATAGCTATGTTCATTCTGAATGGTAGGAATGAAATAATAAATGAATTGTCAACATGAAACACATCCACATATTCTATATATGTGGTTCAAAAGAACACGAGCGAAGCGGATTCTATAGAATAAATTTACCTATGTGTTTGTTCTCTGAGTAGGTTTAACTTTTTTCATCAGAATAAACCAGCAATGTAATTTTAATTGAATATGAAACGCTATTACTGGGATAATAAGAAAACATATTTGGTTGATTTTATGACATTACTTACGTTTTTTATGGTAATTAAAAAAATATATATATTTCATGATGTTTTAAATTACTTCGCAAATATATGTGCAGTCACTGTTCGATAATACATTATTATATGTAAAAAAAAGTTCCTTAACCTAAGTGTAGAGAAATATTAGTCGAAATATAAAAAGTTGAAACTTATGAATAAATACACAAGGAACGTTTAAGATTTGTGTTAGAAATATGTTACCTAGAACTGGAGCTGAAGTGGGCCCTATCCAGGCATAAAACAAACAGAAAGTAATAAAATTGAATCTGTGGACTTGCTTGATTTATAAGGTTATAATGAAGTACTTTATAAGGTTATTAATTATATTCTGGATTGTTCACTATCAATCAGTAAAGTAACTCGTAGAAGCACACACAAATGTATATATATATATGTCTGCTACAAAGTATTTTTTTTCTTTTTTCTTGTTTGTAATGATTTAAACATATATACAGGTTATTATTAGGACTGTTTTGGCTTAGTGGATAGCTTATCAGGCTTCTGATCCAACAGTCTTAGGCTCGAGAGGTAATGTCTGTGAGCACATTCCACAGTTTCAGCTGTGTTTGTATTGGACACTGGGACAGGAATTGGCAAAGTTGTGTAATAGCCGCCAAGATGACTAGGATGTCTTACTTCCCCCACTGTTGATGGTCTATAGAACAGCAGAGCATGAAGCCACTGGATACACTCCAGCAAAGCTGATGTTTGTTTGGGAACTTCGGTT